TTTTATAAAATCTTTATGACATCTATGAAGTATTATTGTCATTTTGCTGATAAGGAGATTTAGACTTTCAGAGGTTGCCTAAGGTCACATAATTAATAAGCAGCAGAGGCAGGGTCTGAATGTAGAGAATCTGGTTCTATTACAAGAATGGCATATCCTGCCCTGGCTGGTGTAGCTCAGTGGATTGAGTGCAGGCCTGCGAATCAAAGGATTGTGGTTCGATTCCCAGTCAGGGCACATGCCTGGGTTGCAGGCCAGTTCCCATCAGGGGACACATGAGAGGCAACCATACATTGATACTTCTCTCCCTCTCTCCTTCCCTTCTCCTCTAAAAATAAATAAATAACATCTTAAAAAAAAAAAGAGTGGCACATCCTGTCACAGATGGCCTTGAGACATCATGCAAGGGGTCAGTATAGCTGTTAGTTCTTGAAGACAATTGAGGTATAACTGAGACCATGGCCAACACTGAGGTGTCTCCAACTGAGGGCTAATCCCGATGAAGCCCCCAGTGAATCATGGCCCCAGGCTCTGTTCTCTTCTCTGGCAGGCTGTTTCCTTTTCCCTGGTGCCCCTCGGACCAACCCCATGGCTCCAAAGAACAATGCTCAATGTTTAAGAAGTAATAGAAGCTCAGAGTGCAGTGGTCGTTGTTCAGGCCAACCCTTAGATTACACAAGCACTGCAACTGGTTCCACTTAAGTTCATGACCATGAATGTCAAGTGGGCTCTGACGTTCTCTGGCAGTCTGGTAATACAGCTCGAATATGTGTGCTTTCTGATGACTGCACACGCTCAGCACCCTCTGCCCACTCCTTTGCCTAGGCTGACGACCTTCTGTAGCAGACCTACTCTGGGCTTTTGTTCCCCAGGACCTGAACCTTTCTGCAACCCCTCACTGTGGTTCCTGGTGAAAGGCAAAGAAAATAAAAGGGTCAGAAGGGTCAGTCTCTCACCCGTCTGCAGGACTTAGACTCAAGAGTATGACCTAGGGTTGGCCAGTCTGGGACTCCCAACAAGGACTCTGGCTTCTTAACTAGAGATACCAAGGCCCAGGGCTCTTTAGAGGTTATTCATAGTGGTGGGCGTGGTAGGGGGTCTGGCAGCCCCAGAGGAGGGGTTTCACCACACTGCTGCAGTCTGTGCTAGTCCTATGGCATGTGAAGATGACTCTCCCATTTTTATTTATAATGTTTACCGAGCCAGTGAGCTCCAGACTTGTACATTCAGCTGTTTACTTGATAATTCCACTTAGATACATAACAGGTAACTCAGATATTAATGGACCAAACTAGAACTTCTCATCTTTTCACAAAACTTCTTACTTCCTGGCAGAGCCGAGGACAGGAGCCCAGAGTGTCTGAGCAGTGCCCCCAGCCTCCTCTCCTTACTGCCCTCACAGCCTACCTGCCCTGCTGCCTGCTTGTCCCCCAGAACACTTTCCACTGTGGCCACCTAGGCAAGTTCCCACTTGAGCAACGGCATCAAGTGAGTGTATGTGTTCCTGCCTGAGGGTGATGAAGTGCAAGCTATGTATATCTGAACTGATGGTACCGAACGAGGACTGCGATGTGAGACCAGGACCCTGGATGGTGAGCCCAACTGTACAGAAGTGTTGATCAAGTGGTATTTTGATGGCTTTAATACTTTACAGTATGAAGGCTCCAACAGGGACACATATCTTGTCCCTGCTGCCATGTTTTGGGACCCTTTCTGCTAGGACCTCAATAAGATGGTGTTCTGTGAAGACTTCAAGTACAACTGAAACCTGTAGAGACAACTGAAGGCATACCTGTAAATGGGTAATGGACATGGTTTGGGATGGAGCAAGAATATACTTTTATGGGCACAGATGGACACCCTTTTGGTTGGCCTTCCAATGGCTTCCCTGGGCACCAAGGTCCATACTACCATGGCCTGGGAGCAGACCGAGCCTATGGCAAGGATATGGTGGAGGCTCACTACTGGGGCTGCTTGTACTCCATCATCAAAACTGTGGGGAAAATGCCAAGTTCATGCCCACCCACTGGCAATTCCTGATAGGACCCTGTGAAGGAACTGATATGGGACATCATCTCTGGGTTGCATGTTTCATCTTGATCTTGCACTTGATCTTGCAAAGTGTGAACACTTTGGAGTGGTAGCAACCTTTGATCCCAAGCCTATTCCTGGGAACTGGAATGGTGCAGGCTGCCACACCATCTTCAGCACCAGGCCCTGTGAGAGACCGGTCTGCAGAGCACAGTCCGTCAAGAGGCTGAGCAAGCAGCACCAGCATCACGTCTGAGCCTATGATCTCCAGGGGGGCTGGGACAAATGCTCGGTGCCTAACTGGATTCAACGAAACCTCTGGCGGTATTCCTTCTGGCATGGCCAACTATAGCACTGGCATTGCATTCCCTGGGCTGTCAGCCAGGAGAGGAAGGGTTACTTTGAAGACTGGTACTCTTCTGCCAACTGTGACCCCTATGGGGTGACAGAAGCCCTCATCCACATGTGTCTTCTCAGTGACACTGGTGATGAGCCCTTCCAGTACAGAAACTAAGTAGACCCGGACTTGCAGCCATCAAACCCCTTCTAATAAGGCTTTATCCCCCTCCCACTCTCGCCTCCTCTCACTCGTCATAACAGCTGTAACTCTAAGAGTGGTATATCAAGGTCTTTTTTTATTCCTCATGAAAAGAGAAACCACCTTTTTACTTCCTAAATATTTCTTTTGTTTTAAAGATTTTATTTACTTACTTATTTTTAGACAGAGGGGAAGGGAGGGAAAAAGAGAGAGAGAGAAACATCAATGTGTGGCTGCCTTTCACACGCCTCATACTAGGGACCTGACCTGCAACCCAGGCATGTGCCCTGATTGGGAATTGAACCAGAGACCCTTTGGTTCACAGCCCGCACTCAGTCCACTGAGTTACACCAGCCAGGGCCCTAAATGTTTCTTATCTTAGTCAAGGACACCACCATCCACCTAGTTGCTTCAATCAAGACCTTAGGAGACATCTCTGATTTCTCTTTTCCTCTTAATTCTCACAACCAATGGGATGTGAGTCCTGTCGATTCTACCTTCAAAGAACAGTGTCTTCAGTTAATGTTGTCTACAGATTCTGTGACTTTAAGCAAAATGACCTATAATAAAAACAGTTTTAGCACAGGATAATTTATACAAACAAGAGTTAAGTTCCTAGGGCATGTCATCAACTTTATAATGAAATAATGTTGAACAAGGTCTGACTTCACGTGTACTGGCACCTAGACTTTTGCAGTAACTTCTGTGGTAGGCACCCCTCGTCCAAGATGTCTATGTCCTAATACCCAAAACTTGTGAATATGTTACCTTAACATGTTTAGGAGATTTTGAAAATGTGATTAAATAAAGGATCTTGAGATAAGGAGATTATTCTGGACTTTCCAGGTGGGCCCAGTGTAACCATCAGGTCCTTATAAGAGGTAGGCGGGACAATCAGAGTCAGGAGTAAACGTGATAATGGAACCAAGAGGTTGTAATGATGTGAGGAAGGGGCCACGAGTCAGGGAATACGGGTGACTTCTACAAGGGCAAGGAGACCGCTTTACTTCTGAGGTTCCAGCTGGAACAGCTCTACAGAAACACTGCCTTTAGATATCTGACCTCCAGATCTGTAAAAGAATAAATTTATGTGTTTTTTAATCCTCTCCTGAGGATATATTTACTGATTTGAGAGAGAGAGAGAGAGAGCAAGGGAGGGAGGGAGAGAGGGAGAGGCAGGGGAGGAAGAGAGAAGGAGAGAGAAACTTGCATGTGAGAGAGAAACATGGGTCGACTGCCCCCCATGTGCAGCGGGCCTGATGTAGTTGGGATGTTTCAATAAACACAGTCACCTGGCCAGGGCTCATGTTGTTTTAAGCCACTATGTTTGTGGTGAAGGAAGCTAATGTAGTCATCTAATGGTCTCCCAGTTTCCTGCCCTGTCTCTCTACAGGGCATTTTCTACACCAGAGACAGGCAGATCTTTTAAAAAAGATTGTCACTATCTGGTTTAAAGCTTAACAAGAATCCAGTCCAAACTTAGCACGTCCATAGGCCCTATGTGACTCCCTCTCCAAGCTTTCCATACTCCTTCACTCCTCCTTGCTGGTGCCCTTTCTACTCCTACCCCCAACCCCCAGCCTTGTGGAAACAGGACAACTTGTTTCCCTTTTGGGACCTTTGTTCTAGCCATTCCCTGCTGCCTGCATTCTGTTCCCATTCAGATCCAAGTTCTCTGACCCAACCTAAACTAGTTCCCTTGTTACTGTCATTTTTATCACCCTGTTTACTTGTCTTCACAGTACTCGTTATCTGAAGCTATATACTTCTTTCTTTGTTTAGTTTATTTCACTTCTCCTTTAATCCAAGTTCCAGGAAACCAGGAATTTAGCTTGCCTTGCATTCTGCTGTATATTATAACACAGACTAAGGCTCTCAGTAAAAGCCATTGCACGACTGAATGTTTGACTTTACAGAGGACCTAGGGATCAAGTTGGCTACTGGCATAGCAGGGCCTCAAACACCGATCTCTTCACTGAATCCAGAGGTTAACACTGAGATCGGGTTCCGGTCCCTCTTGCTAGAGGCCCTTCAGCCTGGTCAGAGAAGAGGGAGAATTCAGAGGCTATGAGAATTTATAATAACGATGATAAAAATAGTAACGGCTAAGGCCAGGACTTTCTATGTGCCAGGTACCCTTCAAGGTATTTATCGTTGCCTCATTGTATGCCTTTGAACCACAACCCAGGCTCGTGCCGAGAGGGAATCCAACTGGCGACCTTTTACTTCGCGGGAAGACGCCCAACCAAGTGAGCTACACCAGCCAAAGTTAGGTTGAGGCGATTTCTGTTGGGTGAAACCTCCGACCGCTAAAAGCCGTTAGGATCGGTCCATTCCCGGGACCTGACGGGACATCCCAGAGCGCAGGCGCAGGGCCGGAGGGGCGGGGAGGAGCACAGGCAAGTTTGGAGGAATAGAGTTGCAGCCTAAAAGCGGAAGTCCCACCTCCAGCCCTACAGAAACTTCCGGCTCCGGTAGCTAGGGTCGCGCGGTGACGGGGTGGGGTCGGCGGTCGGGATGGTTCTGCTGGAGAGTGAACAGGTATTGTCAGAGTTGGCACACGGAGGCAAGGGTGTAGTTGGGGGGCTTAGCTTGGGGCCTTTGTTTTCTTTGTTGGGTGGGATTGGGACTCGACGCGGCGGGGATTTGGGACTGCCTAACGGGGCTGGATTTGTTGTGTTCCAGTTCCTGACGGAGCTGACCAGGCTCTTCCAGAAGTGCCGGTTGTCGGGCAGTGTGTTCATCACCCTGAAGAAGTGTAAGCAGCCATCGACTCGGCAAGGCCGGAAGGAAGCTGGGAGGCCGAGCGATGTCCCCCAGCTTGGGTGCCCAGAGTCTGGGAACCAGGAGCTGAGTCTGCGGCGCCTCCCCGCCTTCCCTTACTTTCCTCCACCGTGTACTGGGCACAGCCAGGGCTGAGGGACTGAAGAATGTTAGAGTCTGGGGCGGGTGTGGCCTGTAGCGATTTTAACACGGTTCCGCTTACAGTGGGCCCCAGTGTGTCATGGCTCTAACCCTTGTCAAGGGTCCCAAACTTCTATTAGTGGGATTTAGTCTGCTTTGATATTACAGTATTCCTGTCGTGGAAGTAGCAGGTAGTTTCCCAAATTTTGGCGAACCTGTCGACAGTGGTGGATGAGATGCTTAACAGAACTAGAGCAGTGCAGGTGGATTGGGTGTCCTCTTTTTCCCCCTTCCCTAATGATTAACATTTTAACTACTCATTAACAACGTCCGTGGCTGTGTTCATCAGGATGTGTTTTTCGTACAGATGATGGCCGAACTAAACCCATTCCGAGGAAAGGTTCTGTGGAGGGCTTTGAGCCCTCAGACAACAAGTGTCTGTTAAGAGCTACTGATGGGAAAAAGAAGATCAGCACAGTGGTGAGTTGGATTCCTAACACTGTGGTTTTTGAGTTTAAACAAACACTAATTTAGCATGCGGTATATCTGGACTGTTTTTGGTTTTTATTTTAAATAAAGGCTACTTATGGTATAGCTCCCCTGCTGTTTTGGGATCAGGGCTTTTTAAAATTACCTTAGTAGTAGAAAACTCAAGAGTGAAATGAAGTCAAACACTTGTTCTGTTTAAGTTTTTTTGGAAATGAAATGAGCATATTGGTCCTTACTCGTAGTGGCGCTGTAAGGAACAGTTGGCATAAGTATATGATTACCTACACCCTTAGCCTGCTGTGCTGGGCCTTCCATGAACAATTTTTTGTCAGCAGATAATGCTTTTGAACTGATTATTCCTATTCTTTGTGGCCCATGTAGTAAACACCTGGCTATATGATGGCTTGGTAGTTGTGAGAATATAAATTTAGTCAAGAGCCCTAGTATTCCCTTTCAAAGTGCAGGTTGAATATGGCAAAGCAAGAGATTCCCTGGATTCCAAATGAATAGAGGCTTACCTCTTTTTATTGCACATTGCTTTGTCATGCTGCCAGGTGTTGAGTTTATTATAAACTGAAGGCAAGACTCCACCACGAAAAAGGTGGTAACTTGCTTGTGATACTTGCTTTACTGTGATGGTCTTGAGCCGAACTCACCACTGTTTCTGAGGTGTGGCTGTGCTACTTCATTCTGCTGGGCAGAGGTGGAATGCTCTCCAGCCACATCAGTAGAGGATGTTTGTGAGATAGTAAATCGTAATTAGTTGATGCCTCCCTTTACCAGTTATATGGAGAGGACATTTACAGTAAAGTTTAAGTGGTTTTTTAAAAATAAGGTTGGGTATCATGAAATATAGAAACCTAAGGAGTTTTTTTTTATTTAATTAATTTTTTAAAAGGTTTTTTTGTTTGTTTTTAATCTTTAGAGGGGAAGGGAAATAGAGAAGGAGCAAAGGAGAGAAATATCAATGTATGGTTGCCTCTCATGGGTTCCCTACTGGGAACTGGCCTGCAACCCAGGCATGTGCCCTGACTGGGAATCGATCCTCGATCCTTTGGTTTGCAGGCTCAATCCACTGAGCTACACCAGCCAGGGCTCTAAGGGGTTTTTAGAGGTAGAATTTCTTATTTATTTATTTATTTATTTATTTAATTGATTATGCTGTTACAGTTGTTCTATTCCCCCCTTCATTCCCCTCCACCCTACCCCCCCATCCCCACCATTACCCCCCTTTAGTTTATGACCATGTGTCTCAAGTCCTTTAGATTCCATATTTCCCATGCTATTCTTGCCCCCCCCATCTATTTTCTATCTACTGTCTATGCTACTTATTTTCTGTACCTTCTCCCCCCATCTCCTCCTCCCACTCCCCTGTTGCTAACCCTCCTTGAGATCTTCATTTCTATGTTTCCACTCCTGATCTAGCTGTCCTTTTAGTTTGCTTTTGTTTTAGGTGTGGTTGTTAATAACTGTGAGTTTGTTGTCCTTTCACTGTTCATGTTTCTTTAACTTCTTTTTCTTAGGTAAGTCCCTTTAACATTTCATATAATAAGGGCTTGGTGATGATGAACTCCTTGAATTTGATCTTATCTGAGAAGCACCTTATCTGTCCTTCCATTCTAAATGAAAGTTTTGCTGGATAGAGCAATCTTGGTTGTAGGTCTTTGGATTTCATGACTTGGAATACCTCTTTCCAGCCCCTTCTTGCCTGTAAGGTCTCTTTTGAGAAATCTGCTGACAGTCTGATGGGGACTCCTTTGTAGGTGACTGTCCCCTTAGCTCTTGCTGCTTCTAGGATTCTCTCCTTCATTTTAATTTTGGCTAATGTAATTATGATGTGCCTTGGTGTGTTCCTTCTTGGGTCCAACTTCTTTGGTATTCTCTGAGCTTCCTGGATTTCCTGGATATCTATTTCCTTTACCAGATTGGGGAAATTTTCCTTTATTATTTGTGCAAATAAGTTTTCCACTGGTGGCTGTGCCTTTCCCCTTTCTGGTACCCCTATAATTCGGATATTGGAGCGTTCAAAGATATCCTGGAGGTTCCTAAGACTCTCCTCATTTCTTTGAATTCTTGCTTCCTGACTCTTTTCTGTTTGGCCATTATTTGCTTTCTTCTGGTCCACTCCATTGGTTTGAGTCCCAGTTTCCTTTTCATCGCTATTGTTTTCCTGTGCAATTCCATTCATTTCAATTAGTTTCGCCTTCATATGTTTCTCTAATTTGTGGCTATAATCAACCAGTTCTGTGAGGATCCTGATGACCAGTGTTTTAAACTGTGCATCTGAGAGTTTTGCTATTCATCGCTTAGGTCTATGGGCTCAGGGACTGTGAGAATTTGCGACATTTTTGGTCTGTTCTGGCCCTTTAAGTGTGAGAAGCGGCGCCTTGGACTCCCAAGTCCCTGGGTTGTGACGCTGTATGTGTGGGCGTGGTCAGAGCGGGGAAATGGCGGCGCCCTCTACTGCCGCTTGCCGCGGGGACGCCGGGCCCGGTCCAACCGCCCACTCCCTCACCTGACCGCTCCCGCACAAATAGGCGACCACAGTCAACATGCAGCACCGCTTCCCCGCTCTCTCCTCCGCGGTCGCTCGCCTGGGCACTCGCTCGGTCGCTCACTAGGTCCAACCCTGCGCCTGGATTCCGAGTCTGGATTCCGCGCCTGGATTCCGCGCCTGAGCCCGTCTGACCGAGTCCTCCTGTGCAACCCCGCTCCAGCAGCCACTGGTTTCGCCCCTTACCGGTCAGGCTGAAGCATTTGTTGTTAACAGACTTCCGAAAAGTTCAATTTTCCGTGTTTTGGCTGTGATTTCTGTTGCTAATATTTAGTTGTCCCTAAACTTGGTTGTGTGAGAAGGCACGGCACACCCACCTATGCCTCCATCTTGGCGGAAGTCCCCTAGAGGTAGAATTTCTTGTGGTAGCTTGCATTTTGCTTAAATTGGCTTGAATTAATGGAAGGAAGCTTAGAATAAGATGTGGAGGGAATAGTTTAAATATATCTTGCATAAAAGATTAGTACTTGGTCCTTTGACACCTCTCAGAACCCAGGGAGAAGTCAGTGCCATGCGTGTATGAGATTTCATTGGAGGTGAGCAGCTTGCCCACTCCTGCCTCTTTCCCATCTTGGTACAACTTTCATGTGGGCAAGTCCAGAGTTACTCTGCTTGTTCCCCAGGCAGAGGAAAGTGAAGTAGGAAAACACCTTAGTGTATGATGATCCTGAAGTTGGGAAGAAATATTTTAACAATTAGGATATTGTCTTTGTGAAGCTATTGAGTTACTGTCTAAGGTGGGGCAGGGGATTCCTGTATGGACTCGGGGTGACCTTCTTTTCCCTCTCTTTCCAGGTGAGCTCCAAAGAAGTGAATAAGTTTCAGATGGTGAGTTTCTGCTCTTCCCCATGTTCCCTTTCCTAGGGCAAGTGTCAGCATAATGTTGACACTGGGTTAAAATCGATATCTAGGTTCACTGCTCTCTGTGATGTTTTAGCAGTAGTTTATGAATGCATAGCTGCCAGGCTATGAACTTCACTTTCAATACTGTCACTGCCATAGACAAAAAAAAATGTACTTGAAGAATAACTAAATAAAAATTAAAAAAAAAAAAGAAATTAGCAGAACCAGAATTGTATGTGATTAATTAGAATCAAATAGTCTGAATTGGCAGAGCTGAATAAAAGATTCACAAAATCTTAAAAAAAAATACTGTTACTGCCTTCCTTTTTAGTTTTTGTTTTTAAGATTTTATTTATTTTTAGACAGAGGGGAATGGAGGGAGAAAGACAGGAAGAGAAACATCAATGTGTGGTTCCTTCTCACACATTCCCCACTGGGGACCCGGCCCACAACCCAGGCATGTGCCCTGACTGGGACTTGAACAGGTTACCCTTTGGTCTGCGGGCCAGTGCTCAATTCATTGAGCCACATCAGCCAGGGCTGTTCCTTTTTAGTTTTTATAAGCTAGATTTTGCCATCTTAGGCTTCAGATATGCTCTACCTATAGTACAGTTGAATAAGAAGTTGCCTGCATTTACTCACTTGTGCTTAAAAAGAAACATGCAACTAACTAGCTGCAGGTGAATGTTGTAGACGCTGCTCTAATGTGAGAATGCCTCCTCATAAACCATTTTCCTTCAGGTACAAGAGTCCCATGATATTACCTGCTTTATCAGGTAGACTCTGATTTTTGGTAACACTAAATCCATTATGGAAACGGGGCAGCTGTTCTACCTCTTCCCACTAAGGTCGTGCTCTGTATCTTTTAGGCTTATTCAAACCTGTTGAGAGCTAACATGGATGGGCTGAAGAAGAGGGACAAAAAGAGCAAGAGTAAGAAGAGCAAAGCAGCACAGTGACAAGTACAATTCCCTGTTTTCATCAACTGACCACTGAATTGCTATTTTTCCTCTGGTTTTTACTTTTGGCCACAAAGCTAGGTTTCTGATTCCCTTGCATTAACTGTTTTCATGTGAGGTTAGGGTCATTTGGATAGAAAAAAAGCTGTGATGTTTACAGGGTGGCTATGAGAAGCCACTTTATTTTTGGCCTGGCTGACTGGCCTGTGTATACCCCTGGGTTATGGTTTAAAGTCTCTGCAGCCACCTGTATGAAGAGCAATGTATCATTAAACCTGCCTATTTGTCAGCATAGACTATCTTTTATTTATTCCTTTCCCCTCCCCATGGTAGTAGTTTCTGGCAATAATTACTGATTCTGGAATTATATGATTATGAGCAGGCTTTTACTCCAATCTTCTAGGTTATTGGAATTAAAACCGGAAAATTTCTTTAGAAGTTGTGTTAGTTCATGGGTATTCTTCCCAACTGGTTATATAGTTTTATCATCATAATACCTTTAGTAAATTTGTATGAGTTCTCATAGTCAAATGAGAATTTGCCTAAGCACCTTCGGATAAACATATTACAAAATTAAGAATAAAGATTGTAAATAAAAAAAGAAAAGAATAAAGATTGTAAGTTGATGATATTTGATTATGTCCTTCAGTTTGGACATTTTCATGTGCTTAGTAGGGCTAAGGTAAGAACAAGGCTTTTTTCTTCTCTCCTAGCTTTACAAAACCTTTAGTGTCAATACATTTATAATGAAAAAGCAGCAAATATAAAAGCATTTATTATACTCAAAAGGATAATTTTTTATATATATGTATAACACATGAAAAACAAAGCTCCACTTTGTGAGACATCTTTTAAGAATGTAAAGTTAATTTAAAATTACAGTGAATGCACAACATTTTATAGGGTAAGCTCCTGTCTGAATGACATGGTGACTGTCCTTCAGGATCAGAATAAGATTCTGTAGTAGTCGTCTCTGTAGCTGTACAGGAACAGCACAGACACCCTGCAAAAGAGGGGAAAGGCAGGGTCAGTCTAATGAGTGAAGAGCGAGGTTAATGAATTATTTTACGAGTAAAAGAGGCGGCAGGCTGGGCACTGAAGCATTATACAAGGTTCCCAAGAGCTGTGAACTGGCTAGGGTCTGCAGCAGAGGTCCTGGACGGGGCTGTGCAGGCGTCGTTCATTGCCTTTAGGGGAGATCACGGGAACCACTGGCCTCTGACATGAGGACAAAGCAAGACAGTCATGGCTGTTTTTGACTATTTAAACATATCTAAGAGTTACCTGGGTGATTAAAATAATAATGGGGATAGCTACCCCTGGGGCCTGTTTCATTACTAATAAGACTGTGGCTGTGACACGGTCCTGAGGAAGATTAAGTGGTTACCACTGCAGTTCTAACATAACAACTTATCAGCCATCAAATCTCAGTAAGACAATATGGGGGGAATGCAAAAAACATTTATAAAAAATTGTGTATTACATGTTTAAACTTCATTCACCTTCAAAGTACTCTCCATTTGATGGATACACGTATTGAGACTTTTCCACTGCTTGGTTTTACACATTAATTTGGATGCCCGTTAGTTCTGTGCTGTTTTTGTTTCACCTCTTCTACATTGGCAGAACATTTCCCCTTGACATTTTTCATCCAGGGAAATAAGAAGTCACTTGGGGCGAGACTGGGTGAATAGGGAGGGTGAGGCATGGGGATCAAACTGCTTTTGGTCAAAAACTGCTGAATACTGTGTGGTGTGGGCAGGTGAGCTTGTGAATCACCCATCATGAAATAGGCAAATGTGTTGACAGAGTCTTCAAAAAAAAATTTTACTGAAGCTGAGTGCAGCCTCTCACACCACCACCAGTCGGTGCAGTGATACAGATGGATTCCTAGAACACTCGCCCGGCTGGGGAAGCCTGTGCTACAAGGGGCCTGCCCTCCTATACTATGTCACTTCAAAACCCCTCGAGTTTTAACCCATTTTGAAATCTGTGATGGCTAAGTGATAACTTACTTTTTTTCTACTTTGATGTTATAAATTTCATCACAGACCAATTTCAGGTATCTTTGCTTCGGCAGGCGGGCCAGCAGCTGCTTCACAGTTGTGTTAAATGCCTGTTCATCAGCATCCCACTAGGAAAAAACAGATCAGGCTTCACAGCAGGTACTGGGGTTTATTAACTGTCTTGTTTTTGCCACTCCCCCCTTTAAGTAGAGTGAAGAAGACACTAGGACTGGTGGGGCAACCGCTGGGGTTCCTCCTTTGAAGCATCAGTTTTCTTTACCACAGACTACCTTATTAGATCCTGGTTAACAGTATTGCAGCCACACTGTGCTAATGTGACTTTAGACCAGTTATTTCTACCTCTTGTTTACTTTGTGTAAAATGGATATATCACCTCTGATGTGCATCCATTTGAATGGTTCATAAAGCAATACAGTGCCACTATGGTGGTATTTACAAGACAACACAGAAAATGCAGTATGAAATGTTATTTCTGAGACAAGGTTCATTTTTCATCTGATTTAATCTGACTAAACACTGTGGATAGACAAAGTATTCTTTGATATATGACATGTTGCAAAAATCACTTATAGCTATGATTAAGCTATTAAGCTTAGCTATTAAGCATTCTTTTTATATTATATTTTTAAAGATTTTATTTATTTATTTTTAGAGGGGAAGGGTGAGGGAGAGAAACATTAATGTGTGGTTGCCTCCCACACACCCCCTACTGGGGACCTGGCTGCAACCCAGGCATATACCCTGACTGGGAATCAAATAGTTAAGCATTCTTAATAGCAAAGGTTTAACTATTCAAATTTTTAAAAGTTTTTATTTGGTTATTTGATAATTAGGGTATGTACCTGTTAAAAAAAGCCCCCAAATATTACCTAACTAATTTAACTTAATTTTTACAAAAAAGTCTTCCAAATAGTTAGATAAATGAGCTTTCCTAGTTGGAATAAAGGTTTGCAACAGCAGAGCATGTATAGTTTTTTTTCCTTTTTTTTTGGGGGGGGGAGAGAGGCGTCAATGTGTGGTTGCCTCTCCCGAGCCCCCTACTGGGGACCTGGCCTGCAACCCAAGCATTTGCCCTGACTGGGAATCAAACTGGCAACCCTCTGGTTCACAGGCCAGTGCTCAATCCACTGAGCCAAACCAGCGGGGGCAGAGCATGTATAGTTTTTAGGAACATATATGCTACTGCGTTGCCTACATTCAAATCCTGGTTCTGCTACTTAGTAGTTGGTTGACCTTGAGTAAGATTTAACCTCTCTACTTCTGTCTTCTGTAAAATGGGGGTAACAAACACAGTACCTCTCTCTTAAGATTGTTTAGATTACATGAGTTTAATAATAAAAAGCTTAGGACAAGGCCTGCCTGAGCCTGACACTCAATAAAAGCACTAGGTATTTGTTAAATAATCTCTAAAATTTAAAAGACGGTTACTAGGAAAGTATGATTCCTTCAATCTTTTTCAGACTGTAAGACATACCAGACCATAAGACACCCCTAGGTTTTAGAGGAGGAAAATAGGAAAAAAATTTTTGAAGCAAAAAACGTGGTAAAATCTTTAATAACATAAATAACATAGGCTGCCCCCCCAAGCCAAGCCAGGTAAGCTACATTTGGACTAGAAGATACACCCCCTTTCCCTTCTAAATTTGGGGGGGAAAATAGTCCAAAAAATATGGTCTATGTCACATGAAGGAACAATGTTACCAAATTTCTGGAACTGCCATTAGAAATACCTAATATTGCTTAGAAAATAATGCCATTTTCAGTTTTCTTTTGGCAGAGCCTTGGGACTTTAAAAGCCACAATGCAGAAGAGTTCATTTTGCTTACCTCCAGTGATAAAAACTGTAAGATTGTTTCTTTGGGGAGATCCACCTGTTAGTACATAAAAATGCATGTCACCTGTCAGGGAACCCACAGTGGCACATGACTTGTGATGACATCACTTTGAGGGAGCAGCATGAACAGGGCTGGCAGAGTCTGGGAAGCTGCTGTATGAGCTATAAAGCAGACTCAGTGAACTGCCTGGATGAGGTCTCTGCCCGGGCGAACTGACTCTCCTCGTTCCCAAACATCGCACACGCTCCAAAGGCTCAACACGGCTGCCAATACTTGGTGTGGACTCCGTGAGGCAGAGGCCTCAAACGTTTAAAAAGTGATCTTCGTTTTCACTGCCCCCTCATCTTTCACAGGAAACCAGTAAGAGAAACAAACACAAAACCTTCAATGTTCTCCCAGGTTCTTTACAGAGTTAAATTCCACGTGGTTCCCATCAGTGATAATAGGCTTGCACCCCAGTACTGCTGACACCAAGTGAAAAAGTCCTGGCCTCTGAGGGAGCTACATGGACAATATGGGCGGAAGCCATCCTCGAAGTGTTAAAGAAAGGAACTTACAGCCAAAATTTCAATTTCACTGCTTTTCTGATGTAAGTTGGCAAGGGACGTCTGAAGTCGGGTTTGTACCTAATAAGAAGAAATGTCGGAATTCAGAATCTGTCAAATCAAGCCATTGTTCTTGTCATTTTATCTTCTATTCCAGGAAACAATCACAGGTGACGAACCAAAGCCTAGAATGGATCCCAAATATTATCCTAGGACTTGCTCTTAATCCACCTCAGAAAGATGTATGTGTATCCTATTAATGATCTCAGGGGAAATGAGATTTCATAGCCTACCCTTATGATTTGTTTAATAATCCACCTCGTTGCTTATTTCTTTATAATTTTGGGATGACACCCAGTAAAGGCTTGGAGCAGTGAGACTGCACCAGGAAGCAGGGAGAGTCCAGTACCAGGCTAAATTTGGAAAAGGGGAAGGCGACAGCAGTGAAAACATGGAACTGAAATATGGTAGAATGACGTGAAAAATGAGTTTCCACTGAAACCCGAGACACGGCAGAGCTTACAAAAATGAGGTGACCCAATATTTTATATCTCAAACTAATTACGTTCCTGAAACATGCTGCTCTCTAGCACTCCCCTCTTCCCGAGCGAGGCCGGTGTCCCACCCACTCACTAGCTGTGTCCCTCCCACCTGGCCTGCCCTAACCCTGCCTCCCTGCCTGTCTCAGGCCCTCAGGGACCCCCTCTGTGAAGCAGATGCTGATCTGTCTCTCCCGTGTGTCTGTAGTACACTAACACTCCTATCAAATTAATTCCAGTTTTCTTCTCCTTTGTGGCTCACATTAGAAAGCCTGGGAAACTCTGCCACGTACCTGAGTTTCGTACCGCCGCCGAGTGCTGGCTGACAGCTTCTCCGGGGCTACCACA